GAGTCGCTTGGTCTATAGCTTACTTTTTTCTTCTAAGTATTCTCTGAGCACACTTCTTTCTCTATCAGATCTTTAAATGTCATGACACCCAGGCTGCGCGTGCACACTTCCACGTGGACTCGAAAGCAAGTTAACTCACAGAGGAGAGAGCAGAATGGGGGGACTCGAGGCTCTGGGAGCAGGGCATGGGAATGTGCTGGTCCAAGGGTGCAGGGTTCCAGTTAGGAGGAATAAATGATGAGCATTTGAGGTGATGGGTGCGTTAGCTTGACTCAGTCATTCCACATTGTACATATAGAAACACTTGGTACACCATAAATACATACAATTAGAATTTGTCAATATCCAGTGAAAGTAACTAAATGAATAAACACGCACTGGAGTCCCGAGGACGCTGTGTGCAGCCCTCTCCTCTCCTACACTCTTTTTCTGAGTTTACCAGGTATAGTACTTTCAATATTATCCAAGCATCTGAATCCAGACTCCCAAATCTGTCTCTAACACTGGCCTTTCCCCTGAACTCCAGGCCCTGTGTCCAACTCACTCCCCACTTGTATTGAATTGACATTTAAATATACTGTGAACCAGCACCCTTGCTGCTGCGGCCCCTCCACACCCATTCATTTTGAGTGAATGGCACCCCTTCTTAATCTACCTGCTAACGGGAGGGCCATCCCTAGTTCCTCCATTTCCGTCACACTCCACATCTAAATTGTCCCCAAAGTATGTCCCCAAGCAAATGTCCACTGGCTCACTTGTCACCCCCTCTGCAGCTACTGCCCAGTCTAGATTAAGCTCATGTCCACTGCCTCTGCTCCTGCTTGACCTCTGGGCCCCACTTCTCCGCCTCCTCCCGACTTACTGTCTACACAGCAGTAAGTACTTTCTGCTTCGATCTTGTGAAAGTTTAAATCAGATAATGTATCATTCAAAAACCCCAGAAATCTTCCTGCACCACCCAAATCAAACCCCAGCTCCTGACTCTGCCCTACCAGGCTGGATAGGCCCCGCCAGCCTCTGCGGCCTCCTGTTGCACTGGCTTCCCTCTGCAGACCTCGGGGACTGGGTCTATCTTTTTCTTCCTGGGGCACTGTTTCCTGACCTCTGCACAACTGCCCCTGTGGCTGGAATAGCTCTTCTCCAGGAAGCTTTGATCACCTGGGAAAAGTGGCCCCTTCCACACGCGGCGCTGTCTCACGTTTTATCTTCTCTGTGGCACTTACAATGACTGGATTTGTTTGGAGGTCACATTCGTTTCCCTCTGGGCTGAAAAAGTGCACATGTGGTCCCATTTGCAGGGTGGAAAGGCCCTGGGTTTTTGAGCGCCCTTTGAACCACATGGCCAAGGCGGATGGCAGATTCCTAAGTACTGGTTCCCCACCAACTCACGCCCCACACTCCCCCCAGCAGCTTATACTGTGGGCTGTTTGTGGAAAGAGACATCACAGGCACTCCGTCTCTTGGTGTAGGCAGGGGATGTCATCTCAAGGGATCGGCAGAAGCGTTCACTTGTTCCTTCCACAAAACAGGATTAGTGATTCCTGCTCTGACCCTCTGACATAGGCCTTTGCTGAGAACACAGGGACAGGATCAATGATAAATAGTGCCTTCCCTTGCCTGCTTTTTCTTACTGAAGTTTCTCAAAGTGTCTTTGGACCACCTGTGTCCATCACCTGGGGCATTTGTGAAGCCTGGAGCAACACAGCCAGAATCCCTGGGGCTTGAACCTAGTACTTCTCCTGGGAATATGCATTTGTGACAGCAGCCCAGGTGATTTTCACGCATGCTTGATTTTGTTGTTTAAGAGGTGCTTTAAGTGGCTGAAAAAATTTGAGGCATCAGAGCTCAGAGAATAATATGATCACCTTTGGAAAAGGCCACTGGAGAAGAGTGAGTTTACTTTGGCTCTGGCTTCAGTCAAGCTCAGGAATAAAGACTGCATTTTTGCCGGGCGCGGTGGCTCAAGCCTGTAATCCCAGCACTTTGGGAGGCCGAGGCGGGTGGATCACGAGGTCAAGAGATCGAGACCATCCTGGTCAACATGGTGAAACCCCGTCTCTACTAAAAATACAAAACATTAGCTGGGCATGGTGGTGCATGCCTGTAATCCCAGCTACTCAGGAGGCTGAGGCAGGAGAATTGCCTGAACCCAGGAGGCAGAGGTTGTGGTGAGCCGAGATCGTGCCATTGCACTCCAGCCTGGGTAACATGAGTGAAACTCCGTCTCAAAAAAAAAAAAAAAAAGACATTTTTAAGTTCTACATCAGCTCACCTGTGGAACTCCAGATACTAATGACCACCAAGAAGCTTCCTCAAGGGGAAGGCACAAGAAAGGAGGAAGAGTGATTGGGGTGAATCTTTTCCTCCCTCCCATGCTGTCACCAGGTTGGAAAAATCTTTCTGCCCTCCATCCCTCCCTCCCTTCCATCCATTCATCCATCTGTCCATCTGTTCATCCATCCTTTCTTTCAGTTAAGTGCTTGGCCCTGTGTGTGGATAACAGGGACAAGCAACAAGGACAAGCATTTCTCTTTGTTTGTACAGATACCTTCTTTTGAAGTATTTTTATTTCACCTTTTCTAACAGCAATATAGAAACAAATAATCATAAAAATAAAAGTATAAACTGTCCATTGATTATGTAATAGCACTTGGTATTGCTACAGGGGGTGGGTCTTGGACTCGGTCAGGCATTGTCAAGCCTGCCCAGGCCCTCCAGGCCTCTTGATGGCTACTGAGCCCCTGAAGGCATCAGACACAACCACATGTGGCAGCATTGGTAGAGACTTCCTGTTTTACACCCGGGGATGCTTGGGGATGGCGGAGAGATGGATGGACAATGAGTACCACTGCAAATAGCACTGTACACACGTGGTGAGCCAGGAAGGTGGGATGGAGGTTAGGCCAGTGTTGCTGCTGATGCAGAGACCCACACAGAGCAGGAACTTCACAAAGCTGAATTAATGTGGTTGTGTTCACTGTGGAAAGTAAGGAAGCCAGCCGACGCTGGACAATGCTTAGAAAACATTGCTGTTTCCTCTCTACCTCTTACCTTGGGTCATTACCTCATCCCATAATAAAGTTCTCTCAGGAGGAACTGAGCAATCTATCCCAAAATATGTGTCTTGATCTTAGTTTTCTCCCAGAGATTGAAGAAGGCAAGCAAGCACTGGGTTACCCAAGCAACTAAATCACTCAGTTGCATCCAACTTAATTGGATTGACTACATTCAACTAAGTCTTTCCATTTTACTTGAACCCAGTGGTTTCAGTTACTGTGATGACTGCTTTCTAAAAAGAAAGCAAAACCTAATTTGGCATTTTTTTCAGAATATGGGATGGGCTTTCCTGCGTGGATTCAAGGATGTTTACGGCGTGTTCTCTGTCGTGTGAGTAGATGGGTGTGTGCAGGTCAGCCTGAGACCTCAAGGGTTCATCTGGAAGGAGGCTGGCAGGAAAGGAATGCCGATTTGGGACTTGGCGGTGTTTGTGCAGAGCTCCAGGGAGAGACAGCAGTGCATGGTCCTCAGGGCTGCAGACCTCACTGCACGCAGCAGGGCAGACAGTAGATCTTGGCTGCGTTGTTGTACCTACTTTCAAGGAAGCATAGACCTTCTGGATCTTTGAAATTATAAGCCATAGACCAAGCTCTTTTCCGTCTCCTAGAGATCCTTCATATGCATTGTCCTACTCAGCCCACGGAAGAAAAGCAACCTCTCCCCTATGTGGGTCAAGATGTGTGGGTGGACACGGGCCCCAGTGGGATCACACAGGAAGAAGCCACAGCAGACACAGCAGACACATACCGTGCGTAGACTTTGGGACAGTGATTAGTGACACATGCCCTGTGGGGCCACGTCCATGCCTTGCTCTCCATTGACTCAAATGTTCTGAATTGCAATACGTGGGAAGATGGGGGTGGGGACTGAGGGAGGTGAGAGTAGAGGGGTTGGCAGTGTGTGGGTTTGGCAAAGCATGAAGACCATCTTTGGGGTTCAAGTTCATTGATATGCGATCTACTAGGCATAATCAACAATGGTTTCACACATCAATATTCTACAGCCTAAACAGCTGTGCCACCTGAGGGAAATCCTTCTCTCCCTCAGGATTCACTTTGTGCCTTTACAAACCGAGAGGACTGGACTAGATGACATCAAAGGTCAAAAACACATCTGATCTTGGGATTCTATCCGGCTGGCCGAGGAACCCCTGCCATGCGGTGTGACCCCAGACTGACCTCCCTAACCTGCTGGGGTCTTAACTTGCTGATCCTCGAGCCTGTTGTGAGGGAGAAACTCTTAAAATCAAATCCTACACACTGTACTTGACCTACACAAGTGGCTTCCCCATTCGGACAAAAATCGGTTATTAACGAGTGAACAACACATCACTCACAGACATACTCGATTAAAACTTGGTGTTTAGGTCAGGCACGAAATCGCAGAGGAGGCCCAGGATGGGCCTCTGGGCTCCCTCGATTGTCATTCTGGGGAGGGCAGTGGGGTGACCTAGGTGACACCACCAGAATCCACCAGGAGGCCCTGGTCACGCCCCTCCAGGAGAATTCAGTTATGGAAAATGCATTCAGGACCTGCCTGGTTCAGTAACCAGTGGTCTCCTAGGCTGTCGCCCTGCGGGGTGGTGGTGGTGAAAAGGCTCTTTGGAGGTGCATGTAGCCAGGATAGATGATGGGGGCATCTGTGCTTGTTGCACACAAGCTACACTAGTGCACCCATCACACGTCCCAGCACACACCAGAATTTACAATTTACACAGCCTCACAGTGCCAAGGTGGGAGACTGACAGCAGCCTGCGTCTCAGGCTCACCAGGGATGCTGGCAGCCAGCCATAGAAGCTGCGTCCCCCAAAAGTGCCCATTTGTCATGCCTTTGGATTTTCCTTTCCTGGTAGGTCCCTGTTGCTGAGTCATGTACTTAGGGTTAATTTGAGAAAATACTTAGAGGACAGCAACAGCTCGTGAGACGGGCACATCTGACATATCTAATTTCCCCAAGGCCCTTGAGGGAGAGCCTTCTGCAAGAATGACAGCTTTGGGTCGGGGGGCTCCCCTTGGGAATCCCAGTTCATAGCACCAGTCATTCCAGGAAACAGGAACATGACCATGGAGGGACGGATTCTGGTGGGAACCCAGGTCTCATTTAACATCTGGTTGGAGTGGCCCTTCTGCAGAGCTCTTTGGGTATTAAGCAAGAGCCAGTCACAGAGACACTGGGACCCACACCCAGGGCCCCTGGGAGAGCACCACTGAATAGGTCCTGGGGCCCTTGAGTTGCCAGTCCCAGGACCCTTGCCTCAGGGAGACCCACTGGAGTAACTTGGCTTCAGCTTCCTCCAACATCCCTCCAGCGCAAGCCCTCCACTCCAGCCCCTCGGCCCAGTCTGAGGGCTCCTCAGCAGAGAGAGAACCTCCGAGAGTTGATGTTCATCTTGGTCACTCCAATGAGCTTGAGTGGCGTGGACAGGCTGAAGGAGGAGGCAAGAGGGGAATCACAGAAGAGGTCGGCCAGCTCGTCCCGCTCCTCCAGCTCGTAGGTGGCGTCGTTGAGCATCCTCCTGTGGAGGCGGCAGGTGTGCTCGATCTTCAGCTTGTTGATGTCCCCGCGCAGGCGCATGAGCTGTCTGGCCAGCTGCTGGTCCTGCAGCCGCATCTCCATCTGGAAGGGAGGGGGAGCAGGCAGGGTCAGCAGAGAGTGGCTCCAGGGTCCCTGACTAATGTCTTAAATCATCAGTTGGCCCATCTAGAAAGATTAGCATGTTCCCTGCTCAGGGAGGTGAAAAGACACAGACAGCAAGGTGACAAATGAGGGTGTGCTTGCAAAACTATACTTTGTGCTAGGCTACTGTATCCGAATCCTTCTGAAAGACATGCGTATTGGTCCTGGCTTGAAGACACTTCCAGTTCCTTCTCCTTGTTTACAGTTGCATTCAGATGGAGTAAGAGTACACAGAAAAGCATGGGGTGACAGCTATCAAATTCAGCAGGATGGTTGCCTCTAGGTGGGAAGGAGGGACTGTGACTGGGAAATGTATGTGGGGGCTTTGACTGTGATGGCCATGTTTTCTTTCTTAGGCTGGGGAGTATCATGTAGTTTTTGTACTTTTTAAATGTTTTAGAATGCCTGGAATGTTTCTTAGTAAAGTTTCAGAAGAGCCAAGCAAAAACTGGTTCCTAAGTACTGGATGTTTTATTGTGGAACAGTTCTAAGCCTTTGGTCTATTAACATGCAATGGTTAACCATCACTACAAACTGTGAAGTGACGTCACCACCATCACCCACAGCTTATAGAGGAGGAATCAGAGAATTAGCTGTGTCGGATCACAGAGCTCATCCACAGCTAAGCTGGGGTGAGGAACCTGGGCAGCTGGACCCCAGAACCCAAATAACTGACAATTAAGTTCTTCTGCTCAAGGATGAGCTGCAGTGTGGTGTATGGAGGTAGCTGAGTGCTTAGTGACCTTGTGGAAGGTTTCTGTTATTTTTAGTGGCTTGGCGTTTCCTTTTGACATGTAGACAAAAAATAAAATTCTAAGCCCCCCAACTGACTGAACAAACCCCTCTTCATCAAGAGGACCCCAGAGAAACCTAAAACCTGAATTTCCAGCCATGATGGGATGGGAGTTCAGACATGCTCCATTATACTCCCTCACTTTTGGAATCTAGGTACAGCAGATCGGCATTAATGTTGAGATCATTTGACTGACAAAACAGACTCTTTGTGGCAATAAGGTACCAAATTCCTACCTGTCTCTGGTATTGTATCACATAACAGAGAGCAAACCCTGAAGAATATAAAAATATTTTACCCCAAAACATATTTATTTGACATATTTTGAAATGGCCCTGCAAAGCCATCTCTTGTGGGAGAAATTTACATCTGGAGAGCATTTCTATTAATGCAATCAAGCCTTTCCTTTCTAGACCTTTCCAAGGTCTAGGAGAGATTCAGTGCGAGTCTGGCAGTTTTAAGGTCTGAAAAGAGACATTTACCACCTACTTCCTCTAAAGGCATCTACCTGGATGCTTCATCTGTATAACAAGAACCTTGGCCCCTACAACCCCCCTTGTCCTAAGCATTTCTTTTTACTGACTTCAAGTCTTTAGACAAAGCTTCTTTCAACCAAACCAGTAAATATATCTTTGAATCTACCTATGACCTGTAAGCACCCCTACCCCCTCCAAACCCCTTCAAGATATCCCACCTGTTCAGGCTGAACTGATGAACCTTCTGTGTATTGCTTTGTGTCTTTGCTTGTAACTCGTGTCTTCTAAAATGTGTAAAACCAAACTGTAGCTGGACCACCTAGGGCAAGCTTCCTCAGGCCCTCGGGAGACTGCTCCCTCGGCCACGGTCACTTATACTGGCTCATTAAGGTATTTTGCAGAGTTTGGTTTTTCTGTTCACAAAATGTGATGATGATTTCTCACCTGGCTTCGCACTCCCAGTTTCCCTAACCCACTGTGAACCAAAAGTATCTGAGACAGGTGTCAGTCAATTTAGAAAGTTTATTTTGCCCGGGTAAAGAATGTACGCCTGGTAGGCAGGTCTGTGCCTTCCCTCAAAGATGGTTTTGAAGGCCTTAATATTTAAAGGGGAAGGAGTGGATATTGGGGGAAGAGGAAGACTTTTTTTTTTTTTTTTGGGACGGAGTTTCGCTCTTGTTACCCAGGCTGGAGTGCAATGGCGCGATCTCGGCTCACCGCAACCTCCATCTCCTGGATTCAGGCAATTCTCCTGCCTCAGCCTCCTGAGTAGCTGGGATTACAGGCACGCGCCACCATGCCCAGCTGATTTTTGTATTTTTAGTAGAGACGGGGTTTCACTGTGTTGACCAGGATGGTCTCGATCTCTTGACCTCGTGATCCACCTGCCTCGGCCTCCCAAAGTGCTGGGATTACAGGCTTGAGCCACCGCGCCCGGCCGAAGACATTTTTTAAAGGTGTAGGTAGATAAGAGACAAACGATTGCATCCTTTTGGGTCTTTGATCAGCCTTTCACCAAATACACAGTTTACGTGTGTGTTTACGGTAGAGGAAAAGCCACCTAGCCTTAGTCTGGCTCACTGAATCGGCACTTTTATATAAGAATGTAAACACAGGGCACATGAAGCAATCAGATACACATTCATCTCAGGTGAGCAGAGGGATGACTTTGAGTTCTGTCCTTTGTCCAGTTCCTGAGAAGATAAGCTATCAATTTCCATTGCCAGGGTGAAATTCAACAGAACTGTTTTAGGGTACAGATCTGGCCACCCAACAGGGAGGTTCCGTGTGAGCCAACTGTGAGAGGTCTAGGTTTTATCTTTGCAGCTACCTTATTTAGAAATAAAATGGGAGGCAGCTTTGCCCAATGCAGTTCCCATCTTGATTTTTCCCTTTGGCTTAGTGATTTTGGAGTCCTGAGATGTATTTTCCTCTCACGCCGTCCACGTGTTTAACCTTGATGGGCCTTGGAGCCACTCCTGAGGTACCAGCAGGACAGTCTGGGTGTAGCTGGAGCTCAGATGGCTGGTTTCTCAGTTGTGACATGGCACAAAGGGACTGGCTGAGTGCAGAGTGCCTTCTGTAAGCAATGCTTTGTCACTGAGACAGGTCGCCAGCTGCTCCTACTTGACTCGAGATCTGAATCCTTCTCACCATTTCCTCTGTCTCCACTTGCAAGTGGTTATTGTTTTAGTATTTTTGAGACATGCTCGGCTATGCCATTTACCCAATGCCCGGAGCCAAACTGATTTGGAAAAATGAGCCCCGAGATGCCCTGTAGTTATGCAAATGAAGGCAGTGTTCTCACTTTCCCCCATTAGGTTTAGCATGGCACACACTGCCGGGTAGAAAAATTAAGTGACCTTGCCAGCGAGTATCTCAATGTTTTTTCCCTTTCTGTTATTCTTCATGAACCTCTACAGGTCTCTTTTCTCCTGATTTCGTACATAAGGAAAGTCAAGGTAGAAAGTCTTGCCTGTAAGTCAGCGAGGTATCTAATGGCAAAATTGAGATCACCGTTCACAGCCACAAGAGTTAGTTTACTTTTCAAGCCTTGGTCCTCAAGGATTGAATAAACTCAGATTTATTGCCAATTAAATTCTATTGATCTAGAATAGCGCCAATAATGATAGGGTGGCTGGTGATTTGTTTATTTTTTATGGTGTCCCTAACTGAGCCTGGAACTGCGTTGGTGCTGCCTAAACCCTTCTAAGAAGATGGGGGTCAAACCTGCCTGAAAGACGTTGTCGGCTAACACCCACTGCCGTAATGCAGTCATCTGCCACTTCTCTTTGGAGTGTTCTGTAATTTGACAATAGATCTTTTTAAAAAACTAGGATCCCTATGGTTTAGATTTGAGCTTTGGCCCCAGGAATTGCATCTTTGGTCTGAACAGATCCTTTCAAGTTGGACCATTTGCGGTGTGGCCCGGTGTCTAAGGCTATGTGTGGTGGACACATCTCTGTGGGGCAGCAGGAAGGAAGGGGCTATTTTTCCGTGGCTGACAGATCTGGTCAAAGATCAGGGAACAAGTTAGGCTTTTAGACCCATCAGAGGCAGCTAGAAAAAGGGCTGACAGTAAGGCCTGTATCAGTTTCCATGGACTGGACAAAGGCCGCCTGGGTGGAGTTGCCTTGCATGCCCGTTCTGTGCAGGCGCATTCAATTCTGGGTAAGGGTGAAAAAGCTGCAGCTTCAATAGGGATGGCGATTCCAGCTGCTCTGCCTGCCTGGGGTCTGAGAAGACAGGAGGAGGGTCTGGGAATCGCTGCTTCCCCAGTGGGCTTGGTTCTGAGGGCATCTCACAGTGTGGGCATCTCACTAGGATGCATTGTAGGTTCTAACGTTTAGATGCTCACGATACCTGCTGTGCTGGGACCCCTGCACTCAAATCAACAAATTCATCTCCTGCTCCAAAGAACAGGGTTTATCCCCGTGCTGCGGGACCCCTGGCTGCGCTGGGCCCGTGCTCAGCGCCTCTCTGGGCCACACAGCAATTTTGCAAGGGTGACTTTGCAACTTAAACACTAACTCGAACCCTGATTAAGAGGTCACTCCACTGTAATTAAACCAAATCCACATGAGTTCCCACAGCCTCTGAAGAAATCTGAGAGGGGCTTAATTTTTTTCCAGAATTTTTTTCTAGTTGTGGTAACACCCATACAACATGGAAGTTATCATCCTAACACTTTTAGTGTACAGCTCACTGGCGATTCAGTACATTCACGTGACTGAGCAGCAAACACCCATCTCCAGAACGCTCTTCATTTTTTCCAAACCGAAACTGCACCATTAAACACTAACTCCCCATCCCCTTCCCCCAGCCCTGGAACCCACCCTTCTACTTTCTGTCTCTATAAATCTGACTACTCTAAGAACCTCACAGAAGTAGAATCACACAGTATTTGTCCTTTTATGACTGGCTTATTTCACTTAGCATAATGTCCTCTGATTTCTGATGGCTAAAAGGCTTTTTACAAATTCATCCTTTTAGAGATTTGCAGTGAACATATGTCTTTGCTGGTCCTGTGTGGAGTAAGTCAAGGGGATTGCCAGGGAAGGCACAGAGGGCTGTGCAGGTTCAGGAGAGTGGGTCTGAGCTGGGGCTGGAGTCCCTCTTCCTGTTTTCCCTTCATGCTCTGCCAAGGGGCCCCTTGGAGGCAGGGATGACAG